TAATCCAGACAACATACACAGCGGGATGTATGGATCTCATCTCAAAATAAACTTATCTTTGCGGAGCGTATAGTGGTGTGTTTTTCTGTTACTATAAATTTATAAATCAAGATATTAAATGAACAATTTAAAGAATAAAATATAAAATGATTGGTTATGACTCCTGTTTTTCAATATTTGTTATGTATTTAAGTATTTTGTTTTAGAATTGCTTAAATAAATCCAAACTGTTTATCAGACACTAACATTTTTACGGTTTCTATAGTTTTAGGGTTTTATGCCATAAAAGTGAATGCAGAAAAGTATCATTGAGAAAAAAAAAGAAGTAATTTCTTAACTCAATATATAAATTCCTGTTATTTATGAAGGTTTAAAATTTAGTTTACCTTTTAAGCGTTCTCACCACAGTAAAGATAATATTATAATTACATTTATTTAACGATTATTTTAAATTCGAGAAAACTTGAATGTATTTAAACTAGTTTAATTAAATTATAATTTAGGTATATTTTATACATTTTTACTTATCTTTATATTTGAATTGTCATTCTTTAGAAAAAATAAACTATATCTAGCGATAGGTAAACCATATTTTTAATTGTATTTTCTTAACTCCTTTGTGATTATTTAAAAATAAAACACATCGTTCTTAAGTGTAGTCGAAAAAATAAGATACCTTCATAAGAAAAAAAAAATATTATTGTTATTCAGGCATTTTTTCATAGTCATTATACCAAAACTCAAAACTTGCAATAAAATGTGTATGTATATATTTTTAAATGATATAATAAAAACTGACAAAATGTGTTAATTTTAAAAAAAAAATTCTACTTCAGAATATAATTAGAAATGTATAAATTGTTATTTAAAAAAAATATAAAACCAATAAATACAATATAACATTGAAACTATACGATTTGAAAAAAAGAGAATTAATACGTGTGTAATTGGTAACTTAAGTTCTTATTTTTATCTGTTTTTTAAAAAGTGAACTTATCATTTAAAATTAATTTCAAATATTATACAAAAAAACTTTAACTATCAAAGATTTTTACATTTTTCAAACTATCCTTACTATTTTCTAAGTTTTTTTAATGGTTTGATTTATTATTGTTATATATAGTATTAGTTAAGCATAAAAAAAACAATATAAGTAATCTTTTCGTTTTAAATAATTAGGTCAACCACACAATACTATAAAGTCATTTATACCTTCTTGCTAAATAAATGGAAAAAATTAAACAAAATAAAAAACTTTTCAAAGTATAAAAAAAACAAAATATTTCCTGAAAAGCAAATAGCAATTATTCAATTATATACCATTACAAAAAATAATAGTTTTATGAACTGTAGAACATTATTCAAAATGATTTGAACCGTTATTATATTTTAACAATTGAAAAACTCATTAACATCTGATAGTATATCAATTATAATACTTTGGGCTGATGATTTCTAGTGCTTTTTTAGAAATGTCTTATTTTAGCCATAATAGAGAATATAATTTCTAAATATTTAAGATGGATAACTAAATTCACTATAGGGTAAACCCATTTTTGTCAAAATATTTTAACCTTAATTGACAGTAATAGTTGATAGTTTTTATAAATAAGGGATTTTAATACACGAGAAATATTCATACATAATGAAACTGCATAAAAGTTATAGAGCTACGTTATATTTATTGAAACTTCCATACTCATGAATATGTAAGTGGAACAATCGGTGACTTTGAGTAGACCTGAACGTCAATTTACAAATCAAATAACATAATTTCATCCAAACATAATACAACAAATATTTGAAATTCAGTAATGGAATTACCTTGATGGCTTGATCGTGAATTTGTGCCACAAATCCAAGATTAATTTTCCATTCTAAACATATTTTGATATTTTAAACAAGATTAGGTACACTGTTTAGTCTTCAATATAGGTCATAGGACCGTATTTTAAATATTATACACATACCTTTGATAATATGTTTTTAATATTTTTTACCTGGAGTACGTCATTATTGATTTCATATTTTATAATACAAAATCCCAACCTAATGTTTAGAGATAAAAATTATATAATAGCTTCTACTGTAATACAATAATATTAATTACCATACCTTTATATCTATTAGGGTCAGTGCCGTATTGTTTGGTTTGAAGATTTATTCGATAAACTTCCTTTTCCAAGCTTAATACTAATATCATACTAATCTTCAATACTAATAAATAATTATAATAGGTAAGATAATTTTGTTTCTATTAATTGAGATCCCGAACACTGGAAAAGTAGCAGACCATTTAAGCTAAGCTGGTGTGTTTCTTTTACATTCCTAGTGAGTAATTGGCAGAGAAGTTGATCAAGTTCGTTTAATCTGTGACATTGTATTATTATTATTATTATTATAATTGTTGTCGGGCGAATTTCGTACAACCGTCTAGTGGTGGACAGCGATAGCCAATTTTCCGGGGAACACGTTGCAGTAATAATATTATAATTTATAACATAATGACTAACAGAAAACGACGAGTCAAGCGGGCAGCGGGAAAGCGAGTGGAGGAGGGAGATGACTGATGAGATTGCAGCTGTCTGGTTGTACGCATGATTCTCATGAGCTGGAGCTCCGGCATTATTGTAATAATATTAATAATAATAATTACAGCATAATAGTATTATATTCTACAAACGTGTATCGGACGCACATTATCGGAGCCTCGCTGTTGGATATTTATGAGAAACTATTATTATTATTAAGTAATAATGTATTGTATAATTAAATACAATTTGTTGTCATTAATCTTTATATAAATAATAAGTTATTAATTCGTTCGTTGTCACAACCGGTGGTCCGCTGTAAAATTTTGATGGTTTGTCAATTTTGGTCAAAATTGAAAATTTCCAGTAACTTTCAGGAAAAATAGCAATTTTTAGACGAAACCAAATTCTTATTAATTTAAGTTAATTTTTTTTGGTCCAACTTAAAAACTAACAGCTGTAGACACTTGAAATGTTGTTTAAAAGCCTTATTCACTCAGTAAAAAAGCTTGACAATTTAATGCAAGGTTTCTATAATATGTTTTCTTTTTGACGGCATTTCAAAAATATTAAAGATATGGCAAGATTATTTTTATACGCCTTTAAAGTTTAAATGTTGACAAAATTCATTAAAGTTCCAAACATTTGCATATTAGTTTGTAGTTAGAAATTCATTTAAATTTTTCTGTTTATAGCTAAAATTAGGAATTTTAATAGAAGATTCCTTCCGAGTTTTTCTTCCTTTAACAAAAATAAAGTTAATCGGGAAGTTACGCTATTCATGGCCATGAGATATTTTCGATTTTCGTTAATAACTTGTGGTAAAATTTCTATACATATATTATACTCAAATGATTTATAATGGCTGTAGAATTTGAATTATGAATTTAGTGGTCCGCGAGGTCAAAATGGTTGGCGACCCCTGCTTTAGGTTATTATATTTTTTTTAAATTACCAGAACACTTAAAATAATAGGCTTAAAATTTTGATTAAAGTCGATCAACAGTACCTAAATTATTATAAGGAAGTACCAATATTCATAACATATACTATGATTATTAACTTATATAATCTTCCGCAAACTAGTGACACCGTCTGATGCTTGATCTCAGAGCACATAAGTGACTCAGGCCAAACATCGCACCACATCAGACCATATATTACTTATTAGTATGACTGGAGTTGAATATTTACTAGCTACCTATGCAAATATGTGATTACTTATATATTTTTATTTAGTTAAATAATTGTATTGTACAATAACCATAAAAATTCCCTTGAAGCCAATTAGTACGGTCATTAATTTTTAGTGGTCACAATTATTTTACACAATTATTCATCGACTTGTAAATAAACTCCACTATTTGAATTTAATATAAACTCATAGTAATTGAGAGATTAAATCAAGTATTTTTATAAGTAATAAGCTCCCACTTAACGTAATGATGTTATGCCCATTATTTTTGTTATTGGGTGCATTATTCTGTACAAAACATGTATAAATAATTGACCCGTGTTGGCAAAGATGTCAAAATAGGAACATTAATTTTTGATTTAAAACCTAACTAACCATTTTAAGCCGATGTCGCTTACCCCCAAAATATACATCTCTATAATATGGGCATGTACATAAATACATTGTATCGGTAAACAAAAATAATGTATCAGGTTAATAAATAAACTAGTCTTTCAAACGTTCAAAGTGCCCATATTAAATCCGAGTTCTTATTTTAATTATCAACTATAGCATATAATATTTTGGACTAAAATTTAACACATAAATTGTAGTGATTTACTCAATGACAAGGTACACTCGCCTATATCAACAGGCTACAGTTAAGCGAGATCCCTAAATTTTTTTCATTAGGTATATCAGTGATTTATTATAATTAATATTTTAGTGTTTAAATCAATTATTAAATTATTTTCATAAATATCAAAATAAATTTTTCATTTCATAAATATATTTTAAGACGTTATTCGTTTTTATAATTTTAGAATTTTATAAATACGATTTAAAGTAATTTGCATAGAATTGAAATAAACGACAGGAATCAGTCTGCGTTTCGATTCAAACTGGATATTTTTAGTTTATTACATTTTTATGAAAAACATTGTTTTTTTCTCATAATACAAGATCTTTTATAAAATGTATTGTAAGAAAAGATTCATCTACCAACCGTTGACGTAGAAATTCAAATATCAGTGACTTGGAAACGTCCTCACCAGTAACCATCGTATTTTTTGTCAAGTAAATCGTCAATCTTATTATTTCCACCATTTCAATTTTAATATTTGTCTAGATTTCAGGGAGAAAAACGTGCGTTTACAGCATCTGGATCCCTAAAATATTGTGCAACCTACCAGCTATGACAGACGATACTACAATACATTACAGTAAATATAACACAATAATACGATGGTTTGGAAACAATAACCCTAACAATAACCGAACCCTCGACGACTTACCTGCGGAAATCTCTTCTCCAACAGGCGTAAATCACCGGGTTCATGCCGCTGTTGATCCACCCGAGCCAGGCGACCACGGACGACAGCAGTTGGTCCTTGAACACGCAGCTCTCGTCGCAGAACCCGGACAGCAGGTTGACGACGAAGAACGGTAGCCAGCAGACGATGAACACGCCCATGACGATGCCCAGCGTTTTGGCCGCCTTCTTCTCGCGCGAAAGCTTGCTCAGCTTCCGACTTAGGGAAAAGTTTTTCTGCAGCTGGTGAGCTCGCGTGTAGCCTCCACTACCGCCGTGGGCAGCCGACGCGGACGTGGTTGTCCCGCCGCCCCGGTGTATTCGGAGCGTGAGTTCCATCCGACCGCCGCCGGCACCACCGCCGGCACCACCTCCACTGCCACCACCACCAGCACCGCCACAGCCTCCGGAACCGCCACCGGACGACGGGGTGGATGACAGCACCTTGGTGCCCAGCCGCTGGCACCGGGTCTGCGTTACGGCCGCCGTGTAGATCTTGTAGTAAGTGAACACCATGACCAGCAGCGGCACGTAAAACGATATGGTAGACGAGAATATCAGGTAACCGGTGCTGTTGGTGAACGGGCACGTGTTGCTGGGAACGGGTTCGGTGCGGACCAGCCGCCACCATATGATGGCCGGGAAGCTGATAACGCCACTACACACCCATACCGCAGCGATCAGCCGGTACGCCCGCTTCCGGCTCATTTTCGTGGGGTACGTGAACGGATCGGTGATGGCCCAGTACCGATCCAGCGATATCACGCACAGGTTCAGTATGGACGCTGTGCTGAACAACACGTCCAGCGACCGCCAAACGTCGCACGCGTTTATGCCGAACGTCCAGTAATGATCGAGCACTTCCTGCACGGCGCTCACCGGCATCACCACCAGTCCGACCAGGAAGTCAGCGAAAGCCAGCGACGTGATGAAGTAGTTGGTAGCCGTGTGCAGATACCTCTCCCGGACCACAGCGATGATAACCAGACAGTTGCCGAACACGGTCACCATGCAGAACACCATCAACACCGCCGACAGCGGAAACCGTTCGCCGAAAGTTGACGGGCAGGGGACAGCCTCCTCCGTGCCCGACGGGTCCTCGTATTCGGCTGTGCCGTTTACCAACGCGACCATTGTCGTCCAGTTCATCGTTCTCTCTCTATCCATCTCTTTTGTCTCCGTAAAAATATATTACTCGTTGAATTTCAGAAAATCGTCACTGAAACACACAAAGTAATTCAAAGTGTTAAAATTGTTAACGAATTATGTTCGTTCAAAAAATAATAGATTAGTTTACTCAAGTTATAAATTACTTAATCGCTACTTATAAATGAAGATACGTCTCTCTGTATAATAGAGGTGTTATATTTTTACAACTTAATAATAATTTTACCATGTGTAAGTAAATTTGTAAATGTTCTGCTCCTAATCAAATGAATAAAATAGTATAACTAACATATTACAATTAATGCACTTAAATTCAATTATTTAATTTGTATGATTCCCAATCAATATTATACAATTTGACATTTGTCAGAAAACAAATTTGTATTTAAATAAAACAAAGTTTTTTTTTTTTCAAATCACACGTTTTCCAATACCTTATTGCACATTAGCACCATAATACGGAAATAGTAACTGAATGTATAGATATAATTATTTGATCCATATTAATAAAATAAAATTATAAACGGTAAAAGGTAATACAGATTTTTCCTTCTCAATAATTATAGGCATCAGGCATTTGTCGAGGAATGTTTCTATAGCATTTTTAATATATTCTAGTCCATCTGTTTTTTTTAAATGTATTTTTTTAGAGATATTTCGATCAAATTTACTCATCTTCTTTTGTTGAAACAATTTTTTTTACCAGCGCATCACGTTGGAATCGTTCGAAAATTATTTATAACGAATCCCTACTGACATGACATACTTCATTTTTATTTATTTTATTCTTATGACTACTCGAGTATTATCAAATCCAAACTTCCGAAACGATTACCTATTCCATCTCAAGTCAAAAACCAACTCGTCTACTTTTAATATAACATTCATTTTATAGTAAATATCATTCATCTGTTCATTGCATCGTCAGTAGTTGTTGTTTAAATTTGAATAATGCATTGTTTGCTACGTACCTATACCGTTCCAATGAGTCATCATAAAAAAACAAACTAGGTTAAGTAAGGTTTGAATTTTGACGTAGTTCATGCCATTGTTATATTATTATTATTATTTTGGATTTATAGATTCATGTTTTTGTTTAATATAGGTCATTTATTATAGATTGGTGCATTTGTCATTATAGACACAGTTAAATATACCATACTATCGTCAGTCTATTTTATTTTTCTTTGGCATATTTTACCCCTCACCTGCGTGTTGTTTTTTAAAATAATGTCATCTTATGAAATTAAATTATATAATATCATATTTTTTAATCATATTTATCGTTTCAAATATTACTTTTTAGGAAATGTCACCAGGTATCTATTCCTTCAGTTGTTTTAAGCCACTAAGATATGACTGGCGAAATCTTAAATCAAATTTTATTTCAAGGATACTATTATATCAGCTTTATACGTACTTATGTAATCGGTTATCTATACAGGTAAATAGTATTCGTAAATATGATACGTACTTATAAAGGTTATTACAGTGATGCATAATGATAAGTTAAATTTGGCATTGTATTATTGCTTGAACTATTAATGAAACAAAAAACCATTGATTTTGCTGAATTAACGAAATGGGTAGAATTGAAGAACATTGGGACATTTGAAGAAATATTCAAATAATATAAATATTTGTAGTACCTACATCAGAGGTGTCCTATCCACGGTCCTCTCTCTTGTACCCAGTAATGCACACATGAAAGGTATTTTAGCCCCCTCAGTTATTTTCACTAAAGGTACTTAAAAACAATCAATTATTTTTTAAAAACCATATGCATCATTTTTTAACATCCCTGAGTAGTGAGTTTCGTGATGAGGAACGCAATTTTGATGTATTAAATCATTTAAAACTGTAATTAGACCTTAATTATAATATAATGATGTGCAAATATAGTACCTAGTGATATGTATAGCCTGATAACGCCTAATGTTCTAATATGTTGTTGTATACTTCATCCGGGTGGATCGATGTTAATTATAAGTCTTAGTGACTCAAATAAAACAAACATGAAAAATATTAGCATACATTGAGAGTTTTTTTTAGTTTCACGAACACTTTATAAAAAATTCAAAATGAAACAACAAAACATATGTGCTTACAGAGATATACAGTTACTGCAGCAAACGGTATCATGTTCCTTTAACTGTCACTCATGTATTTTAATGACACGGTAATCTGAATCCTAAATCAGACGGAGCGATGGTCGTAACAAAATGTACCGTTTAGTCTGTTGAATAACATCTCGCAAGGAACTATAAATCATGTTTATTCAAATATCTTCAAAAAATACGCGAGCGCCTTGACAATATGAGCGCGTATAGTGAGCGCTTTGGTGCCGGTGGCGGCGACGGGGGAGGGTAGGGTTGAAAACGCGCGTACTGAAATGTTATTCCGGTGAGTAAACTGCCAACGGGTAGGTTATTATACGGAAAGAACAATGAAGGTCGGGCATGACGTATCGGGTGATTACGGGGTCATTTATGAAGGAAACGTTTCCGGCCCGGAACTGACACGGAAGGACAAGAACAAGGAAAAAGACACTAGATCCGGTGTATGTGGACTAGCTACTATTATAAAAACGTGCATCAGTGACAGAAAATGATTTAGATAAAAAATGTGTAGATAGGAAATTCAGAGCTATATATAACAATCAACAAAGAAGAACAAGCTAGGCGCGTTTCGTAGTTTAACATTTTTTGGCCATAGATTCGTAAAAGTCCAATAGAGAATGTTTGAATTAATGAGTAATGACAATTCCAAAATAGCTGGAGTTTGAAAAAAAATACACAAGCAATCATTATTTCTATTGAATAAGCAATAAAATGTTTTCAACTTAAATAATTCACAATGTTGTCTTTAGATAGTTGATAAAATTTTCTTTATTGGCGAAAACCAGTAATTATTAGACTTAAAATAAAGTCGAATGGTACCCGAGCTAATATTTATTTACAGTGAGTCGTTACTCGTGGGTGAGCATTGATTTGTTAGTATAAAATAATGAACAATAAATTAAACTTAAAATCAAAACTTATTTTTGTTATATATTTAAAATGGTTGAGATTGTATGAATATGAATAAATAATATATTATGTATTCTGATTTCCAAGAAAACAATAATTATTAATAAACGTTCGAGAGAATGTTTTTTCATTGAAATATCAAGAATCTTAAGTATAATTATTAGTACTATTTTATAGATGGAATATTTATATTTAAACGTTTAAATTTTTAAAGAAATGCCATAATGAAATAGGTACTAAAAATTGATAAAGCTAAAAATTCAGAATAATCGGAATATATATTTTATTTTTCCAACGAATCAATTATTCTCCTCGGAGATGCTCTGAGGTAATAAAAATTAAGTATCTCAGAATTTTCTAAGTTGTAGACTGAGGGCGTCAAACACCCATGACAGACACGACTGACATTGATACCAAAAGTATTTTGTACCTACTAAGTTAATTAAAGACATTCCTGCGTTTATAAACCTAAATATAATATATATAGTAATAATATTTTGTTGTATTGTTTGACCACACATTATGCATTATAGATAATTTTTACAAGGACTGTTTCTTCAACATATCTTATTCAGATAAATCAAGTCTTTATAATTGAAGCATTCATACTGTTATCTTACAATAAACTTTATTGTCTGTATTCAATTCAAATAAACATAATCCAAACAAAAAATTCCTAAGTTCCTAATTTGTATGCGATATCAGACATGAAAATTAATGAAAATTGATATCCCTCAAAAAAAAAAAAAACTATAAGTTATGGATGAAATATAATCAATAAGTATTAATTGTAAAGAAATAATTATTTGAATCGTTAAATATTTACTATGTAAGATAAGATAAATGTACTAACTTTCTATATACTCAAACAAAAATTATAGAAAACCAGTTTTAAAAAAATCGGAAAATAGCAGCTGGAATAAAAAAACAAATTGAAAAACGATAACGTTAATTTGGTTGCACGTGTGTGTGTGTGTGTGTGTGTGTGTGTGTGCGATCTACATTATCTTTAATAATAAATTTCACATATTTTTTAAAGTACGATCGGAATTGTGATGTTTTTTTTTTTTACAACTATAAGCTCTAAGTACAGGATGTAAAACAAATAAAAAAAACCTCTGACAAAACAAAGATATTGTTATCTTATGGACAAACATAAAGGTTTAGACTGTTTATAGCAATATTTATGGAACACCTTTATTTCGATGGTACGATGTACCTAGTTTAGTTGACCGTGGTCACGGAAATGCAATCGGTATCGTCTGGTGGCATACCGTTTGTGTAGTTATCTAGACATAACGATGACTCTTCAGATTTTTACCGTTACAGATCGCCATTACCCTATATGATGTATACTGTATAGGTACGCATATAATGTTGTGCAATAATAACAGCGAATACTTATAGCACGTCCGAATAAGTGTGTTAATTTATTTAACTGGAATATAAAAACAAATAATAATAACGCATTGAATATTATGGTTGGAAAAGTGGGATAAATAATGCATAATTTATGCGCCACGTTATCGTCAAGCGGTTCACGCTCGAGGAATAACTGACACTTTTCTCTATCGGAGACACTGCTATTATTTGTATAACAATCGAATCTGCACAACAATAATAAACTATCACGTTTTATAGATTCGGAGTGCGGTGATACATGGGTACTGTTTGGTTTTAAACCGATATGTGTTTTTTTAAGGTTTATTTCTGAAGCTTTTATAGCCAGTCAAATAGCTCGAAAAGTTTTACAAAGTACCTCTATAGATTTTAAATTGAACACTTTTGTACCATTAAGTGGTCATTATTTAGGAATTTCACAGTATTTTTCGGGAAAAACACAAAAACAGAATAAAAATAAGTACCTAGTTATACTCTACGAGTATATAGTGACCTTTTTTTACATAAAGTATTGATCATTTTTGCATAATTCAAACTCTGGAGCTTGATTTCAGCTTTTTAGAATACTATTATTTATTATTTTTCAAATATTTAAATACACTCATCAAAGTTAACTTTTTTA